TGCATGGTGTACCAATATCCATTATCTCCGACAGAGATAGTAGATTCACCTCATGGTTCTGGAAATCACTACAAAAATCTCCAGGTTTGAGACTACACATGAGTACCGCATACCATCCACAAACCGACGGTTAGAGTGAGAGGATCATTCAAACTCTAGAAGATATGCTAAGAACTTGTGTAATCGATTTTGGTAAGGCATGGGATACCCATTTACGCCTAGTCGAGTTCTTGTACAACAATAGCTATCACTCTACCATCAAGGTTGCTCCATTCGAAGCCCTCTATGGCTGCAAGTACAGATCACCTCTATGCTGGGTTGAGGTGGGTGCTAGCTAGAGGACAAGTACCCTAAGCACTCTCACAGGCCCAGAAATCATAAAAGAAACGACAGAGAAGATTATTCAAATCCGGGAACGACTAAAGGCTTCAAGAGACAAACTAAAGAGTTATGCGGACAAAAGACGGAACCCCTTGCAATTTTAGGTAGGGGACCGGGTGCTATTGAAGGTTTCACCCTGGAAGGGATTAATGCATTTTGGAAAATGTGGGACACTAAATCCAAGGTATATCGGACCATTCGAGATCCTTCCCAGGATCGGCCCGGTAGCATACAAATTTCGACTACCACAGGAACTCAATAACGTACATCCTACCTTTCATGTTTCAAACTTAAAGAAATGTTTGTCTGATGAAACCCTCGTCATCCCTCTAGATGAAATTGAAATCAACGAGAGTCTCCACTTTATAGAAGAACCATTGGAGATCATGGATAGGGAAATTAAAAGAACAAAAGAAAGTCGCATACCTATTGTGAAGGTTCGATGGAACGCAAAGCAGGACCTGAATACACCTAGGAGCGTGAATATCGGATGAAACTAAAGTACCCACATCTCTTTCCCTAATCCACAATTACTTATCTTACATTAAATTTGGGGTTGAAATTCTCTCTAATCAGGGGATGATGTGATAAGCTAATATTTCAAATCAATGTAATGACCTAAAAGTAAAGAATTGTAAACTATTTTGATATAATGGAAATAGTGTTAAAAATAAAATGTTCCAAAGTCTTTATTGGGTTGCATAAAATGATAGATACGGTGTCATGGTTTCAGAAATATACAGAACACTCAAATCTAAGTTATAACGAAGAAGTTATGACTAATTGAAGATCCGTGTCAAAACCGGTGAAACACTATTAAATGTAATAAGTGAAATTTCAATAAAATACTTTCTAGCCTTAGGTATCTAAACGAAAGTCGTAGATTATACTAAACCGTGAGCGTACATAGAAAGAACATCCAAATCTGACTTCGTATGGGGAAATTATCATTTTTCTATGTTTTGGAATAGTATTAGACAGCTAAAAACTCGAAATAGAGATCGAGTGACTTTTAGCCAACACAACCCAAATGAGTGTCAAAGATCCCAACAATAGTAGTACAACGGTAAAAAGATAGATGAAAATGGACGTCAGACGAAGAAGTTATGGATTTTTAATGGACTTTTCCAGTCCCGGCCTGTTAAAAATATAATATTAAAAATAAATTCAATACTAGCTAACGAAGTCTAAATGAAAGTTGTAGAGTATATTCTCACCTGCACGTGGATATAGAAAATGTCGAAAACGAAGCTCGTATGATAAAGTTACCCAATTTAGAAGTTCGAGGCCCATAAACCGAGGGGATTTACACCCCACATACCAGGTGCAAGGCCTTGGATCGACCATGTCTCCCCTACTCCTCTACCCCCGTCCCATCTAAAGTCTGACGTCCGATGAAGGTGTCATGCATGACGTACGCCCAACGTACTTCGGCATACGCCCATCGTACGAGGCCAGCTTCCACCCTATAAATAAGATGTGAGGGTGCCAGCTTCCTTTGCCAATTTACACTATCTCTATCTCATTTTCTCACTTCCGAGCCCCTCAAGACTACCCGACGCCCCGGTTACGTATCCAAGTCCTGAAGAAGGTCCGTAGCTCCAAAACTCCCAAGCAATATACCAATTCCCAATCGAAGTATTGCCCGAGAAAAGTCTCATTTTCTTCAACTCATCACACATACATAAAACACATTGTTGAAAAACTATAATAGGTATAGTTATGAGGATATCAAGATATTTTATATACTAAAAATACTATGACGAGGAAATACTCACACATACAAGAAAAATGAACTTTTCATAAGTAAATCTATTTGATACTAACTTTTGTGAGACTTTTGGCTTCACGTTCTTTCAAGTATGCATTTAAAGTCTTGTATTATATACCATAATCTCTTGTAGAGAGAGTGTGATACTTGTGTATAGATCTATACGGGATTGACAATCCTGCACCCAAACTGTTAGCTGCAGTTCGACCGGCAGGTCTGTGGTGACAATCGTCATAACATTCTAACGCCTAAAGAACGTTGTTACAAGTTTCGTTGCTAAAATGAGTATACAAGTTTCTTTGCTAAAATAAGTATACAAGTTTCGTTGCTAAAATACGATGTAAGATTCGTATGTGCATCAAGTTTCCATTCATTAGTTCACAACCTAATCCTGATGACCAAATCGTGCCCCATTGACTACTATGTGTATCGCAAACATAGAGAATAAAATGGTAAAATGCACTCAAGCAAATCGTTCGAGTGAAGAGTTGTCTACCTCTTGATAGCGCTATCCATAATGACCATGGGCTCAAAAGAATTAATAAGTTGTGTCAAATGATTCCATGGACTTAACCGCGATACAGTCCTCATGAATTAAAGTAACATACACATACATACAAAATATAGCAACCGGGTTTATATGAGTCAAAATAAATACAATGAACATAAATAGTTTATGACATGCTTTTCCACCCCAAAACATTTTAAAACCCAAAAAAATAGGGGGAAGGTGTGAATACTCACAATGCTTTGAGATAATGCAAAAGGTGCCTTGAACTACGCTCCATTCGTACCACTATCGATTCCTACAATGATGTTGCATACTAATGAGTCTCTAGTTGAAATTGATGAATCAATGAATCGAGTAAGTATGAATGTGAGATTGAACACACGATGTAAATATGATCTTGTTTTAGCTCTATTACGCTCTCAAAGTTTTTATAGAGTACAAAGACAGGTTCTATAAAGGACTCTTATCTAACTCTAGTAAAAATCCCTACTTATAGGAAACAAAGAAAGCGTACAAAAAATACTAAGGCATTGACACTAAGCTTCGTATAAAATCACCTTAGTAAATACATTACAAAACCATATGAAGGGTATATAACAGACTTCGACTAATTACAATACTATTCAACCCTTACAATCTCCCCCTTTGTAATAATTGTCGAACAACTTAACTTGTGAGTAGCTGAATGGAATATAACATCACCCTTCGTATTTCAGTGTACCATGAAATAATTCTCTTCAGCTCCTTCTTATCTCCTTCGTTGTTCTTTATGCAGTGATTTATATGAACAATGAAGTTGTATATTTTGACGTCGTATATCTCTCCACTTCGCACGCCTGGAATAAAAATCTTTTCGCTTTGCCAGCTTTGTCTTTTCCTGCGAAGACCATTCCGAATGGCTTTAAACAGATTTCCCCATCTGCATACTTCTTCAATTCTGTTTGAGTCTTCGTTGGAGACATTAGGGCTTTGATCTCTAATCCTTTTGTAGTAGCTAACTCAACATCAGTAAGTGAAAAGACACTCATAATAGTTTTCAATGAAGATCTTGATGTGAGCAATTCCAAGTTTAAAATCTTCAGGATCAGTTTCACGAAGATATGAAAATGACCTATTTTTCAAAATCAAAGCAACTTGTATAAGGTCATACAAGTTCATTATTGGAAAATCAGCAATTGTAAAATCATAGACTTGCCCATTCGCCCTGGCCATAATATATTTGAAATTTTGCACTGTATTTTCGAAGACCACATCCTTTTTGATAATAATGACCTTCTTGTTTTTCACCAGTGACCAAACTTCTTGAGGAGCTGAATCATCTACCACCTCCTTTGTTTTCGAACTACTACCACCAGCATCAACAGATTGACCAATCACAATTCCTTTCGAAATTGGTCTTGTAATTGGCATAGTTGTTATGATTGTTGAAGTAATTGGCCCAACAGATACAATGATTTGTTTTGTTGTTGGAGCCTTCGAGGAAAATACCGTTCCAACAACCTCAGCATCTCCATGCGAAGCTTCACCAATACCCTTCGCATCACCAGCCTTCTTCTTCGAATCATCACTACTGAACTTCGAATCACCAACATTCTTCTCTCCCCCTTGCACCCTTGTGAAAATAGGTGGGGCATATGTTGTTGGAAGAAGGCTTGATATTTTGGAAAGAGGGGCCAGTTGTTTATGTAAGATGGCTTCAAATTGCATGAACTTCTGGGATAAAAATTCTTGAGTAATCAAAGAAGAAGAAACAGGCTTGACAGTTGTAGAAAGTTGAGCAATTTGAGGACTCAAACATTCTTACAACTTGATGTACTTCGTAACAGCATCAAAAAATACGTCAACCTTCTGATTTAGAGATGCATAATCCTGTTGAATAGTAGCAACCTCCTTTGCCATGTCTTCATGAAGCTCACAGATTTGTAGATTAACATCCTCCCTGACTTTCTTGACATCCTGAACAAACAAAACATGTCGTTCCTTTGCAACTGTCTTTAATTCTTTCAACTCTCCCACAAACTTTGAATTATGAGAATTTATCCGCAACTCATTGTTTTGATCGGAATGATCCAATTTCTCAAAAATTCTTGATTCTGAGTCTTTGACCATCCCAGAAACTTTACTAACCACCTTGGCTTCGAATGATTTCAGCAACCCATTAACCTCCATACTTGAAACAGACGAACCACCTCCCAGATCCGCTTGAGATTGAATTATAGAATTCAACTTTTTCTCCGAAATCTTAAACTGTTTCATCGTCATCAGCATATGATCAGAAAATTCTTCTTCTTCATCATCAAACTCCAAGTCGTCAAACATTCCACCAAAACCCTCATTCTAATGATCAGATTCAATAATGGGTGAATTTGGTTTGGGTGAATCAATTTTTGGTGGACCAGTGGATTGAGATGAAAAAAGAGTGGTAAAAGGTTGATTAAGAATGTTATAAAATGTGGGTGAATGTGTAGACGAGGGATTGGGAAGATTATATAGTGATAAAGACACAATAGTATTAGGATTTCCTTGAGCTTCTGTCTTCAAATCTCCTTCACCCATAGTATCATTTGCATCTGTATTAGATACGTTTACAGTGATGTCTGAAGTTCGTACCTCCTCAGGAACTGATTTGGCAACTAAGACTTCGGGTGGTATGGCAATTGTCTTCTCAGGAGACGAAATTTCCTGATTAAGATTTGCTTCAGGAGTTTCGGGCACTTCTTCTTTGTCTTCTGTTGATTTTTTTGAGATAACAAGCTTTCGTGTCTTCTTGTTCTTCCTCTGAGTAATATGTTTGGTCATATCTTCAGTCCTTTGTTTCTTAGACAATGGAGAAACGGAAGCTGGTAGTTCACAAATTATTACTCCCTGATGAGTAATATGAGGCTTCCGTACCACATTTAGAGTAGGAGACCTTAGTGTATGCCTAGATTGCTTTTTGATTCTTCGAAAAATACTAGTCTTCGAAGGAATAACAACTTTCTCTTGAGTATCATCAACAGGCTCATTTGGTTTTGTCACAACAATTGATACTTCGTTTACCACTGGCTCTTTCACTTCAATGGGCTTCTTCTTTGGAGATTTCTTTGACTTTGATTCTTTGATAGGTTTTTCAGAAGAACCCTGTTCAGTCTTCTTTGAACGCTTAGACTTCTTCTCTTCCCTTGGCAATAATTTCCCAGTTTCAACATTAGGATCAATGTTTTTCAAGTATGCCACCAAGACAAAATTCGTAGGATCAACACGCTTCAGCATGGCATCAGGAATACGAGCAACAACAGGAAACTCCTCAGCATAATCTGTCACATCTTTAGGATAGTTGTACATCACAAAAACGACTTTTTCTTCATCATTAGGCACCAAAATCCCTTCTTTGTTGTAGAAATATTGCAAGATTAGACTCCAGTATCTCGCACACAAAATTCCATGAATAACATTCGTGTTTTCTACACCCTTTTGAAAATCCTTCCATAATTGTGTAGAGTAATCAACCTGGATATCCTAATAGAGCCCAACAATCATGGCATATACTTCCATCCTTCCTTTGTCGAGTCCAACAGTTCGACCAGTCAAAACACCTCAGAAAAATACCAAAGAGAAAATTTCTAGATGCTTGGAAGACCAGATTTATAGGAATCACTGGTCTTTGTGAGTGGGGGTTGATGACCCATCTCATTAAAAATCTGCATGATTTGAGGAAACGATAGATCAGTGTATGGTGGTGAATTTGGGATTTCAATAATTTGGCAAAAGAGTTTCTTCGTCATTCTAACCTTTTTATCGTTTACCAAATTGAAAGTAATGGCACCAAACGCTTTGTTGTATGTAGTAGTTAATCCTGCTTGAGAAAGCCATGAAATAGGAACTGAAAACGAACTGAACATAGCTTTTGACAGTACATAACTCTTCAATGCAACAACCAACATCTTCAATACTTCAGGGTATTGAGAAACATCAGCATCAACCTGATAATTTGTTCCTTGAATCTTCATAATCGGTAATGAAGTCACATCGTCAGTGGTTTGAGAAGGGGCATCGACATGAGCAGAAGTACCCATTGTTAGGGTTTGAAAGCTTTGTGAAGAACAGAGAGTAATTTTGGAATTTTTCTCTTGAACGCATAAATTGATAATAGACCCTTGTATCCCCTTTTATATGTAACACTGGAGTTTAAATTTGAAGTCGGATGTGCAGTTAATGAGATCTGACGTGGCACCTTGAAAATCAGACAACTACTCCGTAAAAGTAGCCATGCCTCAAAAAGTAACCGTCACTTCTCCTTGAAACCTGGACAGAATATCATACGTCACTATGAAACAGGCTGTATTGTTTATCCCCATAGAATTGTAACTGTCAGAACCCTTCGGATGGAAGTAAGGCTCTTTCACCTTTGGGTTTTAAAGCAAAGTCATGTGCCAAATGCTTAAAATCATCACCCTGAGTTGGTATTACTCAGAACCTCAAGGATTTCGTGAGTGCAGTGTGCCAAAGAAGTAGATGAGAAGCAATAATAAGAAAATTTCGGAAGTCAGTGATGTCGATCAAATTTTCGACACAAAAGCAGTAAAAACCCCGGGCAAAGGTTGCTTCATTAATCATCAAGAGAGATGATCAACTTCTTGTGTATGTTCCTGTGATACACAATCGAATACTTGTAGAGAAGTATCGAAGGGTTTCTTTTATCAGGCTTTGTGTGTAGCTTATAGAATTTCATTACATATCAACCTAAACATAAGGTGAGTAATTGTAACAGAAATTACTTGTTTGACCAGTGTAGTCAGTGACAAGTTTGCTTTGGAAAAAATATTTCAAGTGACGTAGAAAGCAAATGAAATTCACACGGAAATGATATTCAAGAAAAAATTTGTGTTGGATCCTATTGGGTAACAAACATTGTGGGTTTCGAATGTTTTATGAAGACCACTCATACGAAATGAATATGATTTGGAATTTCGAATAATGGTACAGAAACAAATGTTTCGTTAAAATTTGGAACATAGTTCTCCGTCAATTCCTTAAAATGTTAGAGATTTGGGTTTCACTTTCAGCACGGTCTCATGATGTCAAATCATAAACAAAAAATTTTGATATGTCTAAATCTCGATTGGTTTGATCAGAGACCTCTTGGACATATGTCTTTGTTTGTGAGCATGTAAGAACTTTTAGATGAAAAAGATTGGTGTAAGACACGAAATGTACCTCTGTTATATTTTGACAAAACAGTAAACTCTTAACTCATGTGAGAAGAGTCAGGTAGCTCAGGAGACTAATGTGAATACAAGCCTGATTGGGAAGAAATTTTTCGTATGAAAGATTTCATTAAGGCTTTCGTACACACGCATTGAGGCAATGGAGGCTTTGGGTAACATGCTGCAGCATGCTTCTAGGGACAAGTTAACTAATTCAAAATATTCGAAAATTTACCTGACCTAGAACTGCAAGCATTATCCAACTTGAATCATCATGAATATCTGCAACAAAATACTAAAAAGAAATAAGAAACAAAATATTTTTGTTGTTTTTGTTTTTTCAAAAATAAAGAACGAAATAAAGAGAAAATCTTTCTGACATTTTTGATTTTTCGAAAATAAAGACAAAACAAATGAAAATATTTTTGGAATTTTGAATTTTTAGAAAATTAAATGACAAAACAAATGAATATCTTTTTGGAATTTTTTTTTTTATTTTTGAAAAACATAATGAAAAAACAAACTAACTATACTTGTTGCAAATATTCGAAATTTTGTTTGACCTCCTTGAAAAGATTTTGTCAAATACACGAAAAAGATTATCAACACACGAAATTTTATCAACCCCTGAAAAGTGACAAATATATGAATTCGAAGAGGTCAAAGCGTTGAATTTGAACAACAACCTCTGAATGCTGAATGACATTGCATTGTCTTTTATTCTGCACCTATGAATCATTCCTGGTCCACCATCATTCTCCTTTTTCGCATGGACCAGAATTTTCATCAATAATTCCAAGTCATTCTAAAATTTTTACAAAGGATTTTTCATCTAAAGGTTTCGTGAAAATAACAGTTAACTGATCAGTTGTTTTCACGAAATGCACTTCAATATTTCCATCCTCCACGTGATCCTTGATGAAATGATAACGAAGAGCAATATGTTTAGTCTTCGAATGCAGCACAGGATTATGACAAATACGTATTGCACTTTGAGAATCACAATATAATGGAATCTTCTTCATATTAATTTCATAATCACGCAATTGACTTTGGATCCATATTATTTGTGACGTGCAAGCAGCAACAACAACATATTCTGCTTCAGCCATTGAAATTGATACACACGTTTGCTTTTTCGACTGCCATCTCACCAATTTTCCATCGAGTAATTGACATCCACCACTTGTGCTTTTTCTATCAAGATTACAACCACCCAAGTCTGCATCCGAGTAAGCTTGAACAAAGAACACAGTTTTCGAAGGATACCACAATCCTAACGAAATTGTTCCCTTAAGATAACGAAAGATATTCTTCACAGCAGTGAGATGTGGGTCTCGTGGATTTGACTGATACCTGGCACAATTACAAACAGAAAACATGATATCAAGTCTACTAGTAGTAAGATAAAGTAATGAACCTATCATGCACCTGTAAAGAGTTAGGTCAACTGCAAGTTTATCTAACGAAGGTGTCAGCTTTATGCCAGTAGCCATAGGAACTCGTAACTTCGTGCTATTCTTGAATCGAAACTTCTCTAGCAGATTCTTCGTATATTTTTCTTGATTGATAAAAATTCCTTCTCTGCTTTAACGAATATTCAGACCAAGAAAATTATTGATCTTTCCCATCATGCTCATCTCAAACTTACTTTTCATAATATTTTTGAATTCTTTAGACAAAGCATGGTCAGTTGAGCCAAAATAATATCATCAACATAAATTTGAACAAACATTAGATGATTCCCAAATTTCTTTCGAAATAATGTGGGATCAACTGATCCTTTTTTAAATTTAGATTGTTTCAAGAAAGTAGTAAGTGTTACATACCATGCTCTTGGTGCTTGTTTTAAACCATAAACTGCCTTATCTAAAATATAAACATGATCATGATGTTCTTCGTTAATAAAACCTGGGGGTTATTCCACATAAAATGTTTCTTAAAGCTCTCCATTCAAAAAATGCACACTTCAGGTCCGTTTGATATACATCAAAGTATTTCGCATCAGCCAGAAATATACGAACAACCTCGAGTCTTGCAACAGGGGAGAAAGTTTCTTCATAGTCGATTCCTTCTTGTTGTGAGTATCCTTTAACAACAAGCCTAACTTTGTTTCGTATAATGTTTCAATCTTTGTCGGTTTTGTTTTTGAAAATCCATTTTAACCTGACAATCGAAACATTTTCAGGTTTAGGAATTAATTTCCAAACCTTGTTTCGTTCAAAATCAAACAGCTCATATTGCATTGCAACAACCCAACCAGAGTGTTCCATTGCATCCTTGATTGTTTTTGGTTCAATTTTGGATATGAAAACATTAAACATGCAAAACTCTTGATGAGTATTTAATACCTCATTCTTTGCACGAATTTGAGCTCTTGTTAAACTTCCTCTTGTGGATTCCCAATTACTTGATCCTTCAGATGATCTCTTGTCCAGTTTTCCATTGGTGGATAAGCTAGATCAAAGTCCAAAGGTGCATCTTCGTATAAATCATCATTCTCTAAACATGAAATTGAACATTAATCATTAAAATCATGAAAAGAATGCTCCCCCTCAACATGATGCTCCATTCTCTCATTTTCCCTCTCAAAAGAATGCTCCCCCTCAACTTGAGTATTCGAATCCAAGTGCTCCCCCTCCACTGGATGAGTTTGCATACTTTCATCTATTTCTTGAGGATTTGATGTTAATTCATCATTAAGCTTCGTAAATTCAGGAATTTGATTATCAATTGCATTTAGTTTAGCATCAGCAGCAATATCTGTATGACCAAAAATTAAATCATAATCAAAATCAGTTGAATTCAAACTTTCAGTGTCATCTTGTTATTCTTTTAGAATAGGATGATTTTTGAAATGCTTTTCAGTTTGCTTAATATAGTAATCATCAGATGTAATATTAAAAATTTCTTCCACTTTCCGTGTTCTTTTGTTAAATACACGATATGCGACTGAATTATGCAAATATCCCAAAAAATCCCTTCTTCTGCTTTAGCTTGAAATTTCGAAAGGTTATCCTTGAGATTCATAATAAAACACCTACATCCGAAAATATGAAAAAATTT